CTTCCATCTTCTAACCTACAAGTTGTTGTATCGAGTCATAGTCAAAACGAACAAAAAGCTAGGCAAGACAAACTTGGCTTCTCAGTGAGGTACGCTTACTTCGCAGTCCAGCATATTAAATACAATGTAGTCACTTAGCCATATTTCTTCATCTTTGCAAGCCTTGTAGTTGCCGGATTGCCTGGTATGGTGATGCTTTTTACTGTTTTTTTTTTGCCCTTTTCTATTATTTGTGTGTTTCAAAAGCCCTACCATCTGGCAGCTATATCGGAAGCGTCGTTTCCCAGTTTTCGTCTCAACTAGTGTTCGGTGTCCATTTTCCATACTTACAGACAGACATTGAGGTACTTTCACTTATTACCGCTTTCAGCCACTACCTCTTCTCATCTGCAACATAAACCAGGCGTCTGTCTGAGCTGCTTTAATTAGGAAAGGCTGTAGAAATGTTAACCAACTCAATAACGTGACTAGTTGAATCGTTAGCTCATACTCGTGAGAGAAATGCAGCGCCGAACGTTACACACCAAGGGATCTTTCCTTTACGGACCAATTGGTGTGATGCTAGACTGATTGAAGGGTAAGAAGCGAAATTCAATCTTAGTGCCAATTAATTATCATTAAAATTCTCAGTGATCCACACTCTCACCCTCATTATTGATGATGGACGTTTGTTTTTTTTTTTGCCTACATTTTTGGGTTCTATCTGGTAGTCGACTGATTACATTTCCTCATTTTCAGATATCTGTTGTGGGTGATACCCTCTCCGATAGTGGTCAGATCAATAATCAACAGATTATTGTACCTGAGTGTCGACTTCACGAGGACATTGGGTCCCTACTGCTCAAACAGACACTGACTGACGTCACTCTGGTTGTGATGGCCTCTCCCACCTCCCCAGCCCAACAAGCTCATGACAACTCACCGACACTGCAAGTGGGAGGGTTGGACGGTGATTCTCCCACCTTGCCTGGTGCTTCAGCAGACGGTGATGAAACCGGCTGTCAGGATCCTGAGGACAATGAAGATGACGAAGGCGAGGGTAGTAAAACGCCTTCAAGGGATGATGTAGAGGAACACACCGGAGATGGGGAGAGTGAGGGAGATGTTTCCTCCGCTCTACCGCTTCGAAATATTCTCCGTGTCCCAAGCGCACAGCCACCGCAAACACAACAGCAATCGGACAGCAATGAAGCAGTGCGAAAACCCGTGCCCCCACTTGTATCCTGTTCTGCTTGTTCTTCCTGCTGCCCCCAACAACAGCACCAGACAGGGAATAATGGTGATAATAGCGAGCGGCAGAAACATCGACATCCCATTTCGACATATTCTGCTTCCTCCTCCTCTTCCTCGATCACTGATCCACTTTCGATGGATGGTGGATATGCCTATAGTGATGGTGAGTCTGGTTTTATCGCCTGGTTTAAAGCGACTCCGTTGTAAGAGTGCCTTCTATCTACAGGTTAAAATTGTCGATGACGGAGATTTTGTGTCAAGATATAGATTGTGCTCACTTACAGCGTTTAATCAGTGAAACTTCCTCACTTTCAAACAGATTGTAGCTGTCAATCCGGACTGACAACACCACCACCTCCACAGCAGCCGACAATACCACCTTCGGCATCATCCTCCCTAGCGCCTCCTCCGAATGTCGTCTCAACGACAGCGGCCATTCATCTTTCCTCTACAAACACACCCTCTGCTGCTGCCTCTTCCTCCTCCACCTCCTTTCCCTCAGCAATTGTTGGCAGTAGCACTACTACCACGCCTAAGCCGCATCACCACCTCTATCATCAGTTTCTTGCCCCCGTCAGTACCCCCTCTACTCCTACGCCGGCGATTGGAAGCGGAGGTAATAGTGAAGGTTTCGTGCTTCGTCAATTCAAAGCGCACAAGGCCATCCTTGCGGCGCGGAGTCCAGTGTTTGCGGCTATGTTTGAGCATGGAATGACCGAATCGAGAGCCAATCGGGTTAACATCACCGACGTGGAGCCAGACATCCTTGGAGAGGTGCTACGATTTATCTACACGGGGCGGGTGGTGGGATTGGACAATCCGGTGATGGCACAGGAGCTTCTAGCTGCTGCGGATAAGGTGAGAGAAAGATTTTGTTGTTGTTATTCTCATCCACTTCATAAATCGTATACACCATTAGTTATGAAGTCGATTAAAAATGGAATGTCAGACTTCTCTATTTTTTTGGGGGGAAGGAGGATTTGCCTAATTTGTTTCTTCGAGTTGTGGTTATTTGGGGTGGATAGTA